ATGAATTAATTAAGTCAGGTTATGAATGGTTGTTGTATAAATATTCCACAGTTTTGTTTTGAATTGTTTATACAACAATATACTGTTTTTAATCTTTGTTTGTTCATGTAATGAAACATTTATAAATATATCAAATAGCAGAAATAAAGAAATCCAAACAAACAATAACTGTCAGTTTTTTTTTTGTATTTATTTAAATTAATATCTTTAAAGCAAACATTAAATAAAATCATTTGATTTGAATTATGAAGATAAAAGAATCGTTATTAGTAGATGTAAAATAAATATTTATTTATATGAAATCACAAATTATTACTAACACTGGCTATATTATCAGTTTTTGAGAATTATTTTGCTTTTGCAGAGAAACTAGACTTGGCATGGTGAAAGAATATTGCAACACTGGTTCACATCATACACTTTTGTACTATCACAAAATAGCAGCTACATATACTTTTTGGTATTTTCACATTCCTAATGCAAATTTGTTTTCATAATCCATTGTATCTTTCGCTTTATAAAGACTGGGTTAAAGTACAATATGACCACCAGTATGTATCATACCTCGAAATAACAAACACCTGTATATAACAGATAAACTTCTCGGTCCCGGTGGTGTCTGCTATTCAGAGGTTATACTGTATATGGATTTGTACAGGTCTCTTCAGAAGTCTGATCTCTTTAAAGAAGGACAAAAAGCATATGAAGGAGAGGTAGCAGACACCACTAGTACTGAAGAAAGAACCAAAGGAATAAGGGCTGCCTGAATCTTTATTAAGGCAGCCTTATTCCTTTGAGTTCAACTCTCATTTCTGAGTTGTGCACTCAAAAATGAGATACAGAAAACTCATCTCATTAAAGTCACAAAAGGCCAAGGAGGAACGTTTCATTTGGTATAAATCAGGGGTGTCCAACCTTTTTGTTTCTCTGGGCCACATTGGAAAAAGTCAAGGAGTTTTGGGCCACAAGTATATATAATATATACTTGTGGCCCAATATACAAGTATATTTAAAAATTAACATGTCTAGATTATAATAATAAGTATTAAAATTTTATCAAGAAAAAAGGATATTTTAAAAAATTACTTCTACAGACACTTTCAGTTTTTACTTAGAAATAGATAAATTCATTTATTATAAAAGAGAGTAAAGAAAATTTATTTGAAAAACACAAATATTTGTTTTATTTGGGTCT